GAGGGAAGGGGATAGATGGGAGATTGATCCTAAAATTATTGAATATAGAAAATCCCAAGCACTCAAACTTATGATTTAAAATTTAAACTAATGGATGATTCGAATTTATTTGGATATGATGAACAGTGATCATACAAATCTGTTGATTCAATAAGTGACATCAAAAAATTAAATTAACTTTTATGCTGTACTTGCTGCTACATAAATCTAGAAAACTCAATATGTCCAATTCTACTAATGTTTTGTCTCTAAGATTCCCAATGGAACAAAATAAGTATCCACAAATTTTCTTCTTCTTATTAAAATCACCTAAAAGTAGAAAAGAAAATTATTTTTTTTTATCTTATAGAGGGGCTTAATGTAGAGCACTGAAATGATGGGAAATGAAATGTGTACGATTCGTTGAACATTCGGTTGTAGGGAGTTAAGATATATGAATATGTGAAGATTGCTCTTTCTTCTTTTTTGTTGATCATACACACAGATAGATATGAATGGAGATAGCAATTAGTGAAATAACTTATGAGATGGATCTGCTTGGGAAAAGGTAAAATGGAGCATCCTCTATAACTACCACATCCGCTCTTGTAGTTTTCGTAATGTTCATTTAAATTTTTTTGTGAATATCTTATGAATATTTTTTTTTTTTTTTTTTTTTTTTTTTTTTTTTATATTTCATTTTATTTGTAAATAACCTTACGGTTGTGTTACAGATATAATAATCAAAATTGGTGACAAAGTGCTGTATTCATATTAAACATAATTTTAATTTACCTAATTGCATCACTGTAGCCTTCATAGAAGTATTCTTTTATTCGAGATTTAAATAGGCTAAACGAAAAAGTATTTCGGATTCTCTGATCAAGCGAATTATACAATGCCAGACCTCTTATATAAAAGTTTTGACTTCCTAGCTGTGTGCGAGACATTGGAACAATGAAATTTTTTCTTGCTCTTGTATGATGACCATGTCTTTGATCAGCAGTTTGAATTATTATATTATTCACTAGCATATTGCTGATTATTTTAAAGATCTGAATGCATATATTCACTTGATATAATGTCGACAATGGCAGTATTCGTATGCTGTATAGTTCTGATTTACTGCAGTACCAACTCTTGTTTAATAATATTCTAAGCGACTTTCTTTGGGCAACCTCGAGGGAATTTATATTGTAATTAGCAGCAGAAGACCATATCGAGCTCATATATATGAGGCGAGATTGTACATGCGCGTAATATAAGTCGATTGCCGTTTTATCCGAAATTAAATGTCTTATTCTTTTCGTAGCATACGAAAATGATATGACTTGATCTTTAATTGATTGAATGTGTGGTTTGAATGAAAGAGTTTCGTCGATAATAAGTCCTAGAACTTTAACATTCTCAACTCGTTCTATTGTTTTCCCAGAGAATCGAATATTTAATGATGCGCCTGTAAAGTTCTCGAATTTCTTTTTATTATGAAATAAAATGTACTTAGTTTTATCCGCGTTTGGTACTAATCTATTTAACATTAACCATTCTTCTATTTTCCGTAAGTCATGTTCTATGTTGCTTTTTAATTCCATTGGATCATTACCAACATTAACGAGTGTAATGTCATCACAATATAAAGAAAGCTTTCCAGATAGATCAAGATTAAAGATATCGTTAATATACAGATTAAAGAATGGGTTCGACAGTATCCCACCTTGAGGCGTTCCTGATTTGATGGTTTTGAATGAACTAATAATGTCGGAGATTTTGACCGCCTGTTTCCGATTTTCAAGATATGAAACCATCAAATTATGGAAAAAATTATCGAGCTGAAGTGTTTTAAGTTTACTAATAAGAATATCGTGTCGAATGGAATCAAATGCTTTCGATAGATCTATGCACGTTAATGATACGGCTTTTTGATTGTCAATGTTAATGTATATATCATTTAATATGTGAATTGTGGCAATTTCTGTGTTTGATTTTTTGACAAAGCCGAATTGATTACTGTGAATTACATTATTTGAGTCGAGATGATCTTGCAGACGGCGTTGAATTATGTATTCAAAGACTTTCCCTAATATTGGGTTTACAGTTATCGGTCTGTAATTATTTTTATTTTTCCTATCACCGCTTTTGAATATTGGGGTTACAATTCCGATTTTCAGAGCATCTGGAAAGTTACCAGCAAAGAGATTGACATTTATAAGTTTTGTAATAACGTTAACAAGCGCTTTCGAATGAATTTTAATGAAATTATTTGACATTCCATAGACATCAGTCGCATTGGATGATTTAAGATTTTGAATTACCATAATGACTTCATCTTCAGTAACGGATGGACATGTAAAATTTTGTTTAATTTGGTATGAAATGTTCAGATCAGCGAGCGTTGGAGATGTGTTATTATTGAACGTGTTGAGTAATGATATATTAATGAAGAAGTTATTAAGATAATCAGCAATTGAATTGGGATTAGAAACAGATATACCATTTTCTGACAACAATGTGCAAGTTGATTCACGTGAATTTACTTTATTAAACAAAATTTCATTAATGTTTTGCCATGTTTTTCTGGGATCATTAAGGCAACGGGTGAATTTTTTATCGTAAAAAGATTTCTTAGCTTTTTTAATCAACCGATTGACTAAATTTCTATAAAACCGAAATCGTTCTTTAATTTCCATACTATGTGGGTATTTCGCTTTTAATGTAACAAACTTATTTCTTAATTCGATAAAATTTCTGGTTGTCGTATCAACGAATGGTTTTCTGCATACTAAATGCGTTTTACATGTTGTTGTGTTATCTGAAATAATGTTAGCTAATTCTGAGGTCAATTCTTCGAATGTTTCACAGTTTAAGTTCTCAATTAATTTACTATTTAAGATTTTGAAGTTATTGACCCGTTTTATGTGATATGGGATTTTACTATCGTTTCTTTTAGAATTAATTGGAATATTCAAAATGATATTTTTGTGATCGCCTATGTTATCGAATAAGAACATTTCATGTTCTAAACTGTCTTCATAAAAATGAAGATCGGTAAAGATGTGATCTATGCAAGAGTTTGAGTTGAATCTATAGTTAATGCGAGTTGGATATTCATGTGAAAACGAGTTTAGAAATTCGAGACTATTAGACTTTACAATTTCTTTGTAGTCGCATACAAGAGGGGAGGTTTCATCAAATAAATTAATGTTAAAGTCACCGAAGAAATATATTTTGCTGTATGTATTTAGAAGGACGTCGAGTTTGCTTAAGAAGAGTTTTCCATTTTGATCAAGCGAATTATTTGGTTGCCGATAACAAAGGCCTAAGTGGATATTTGTTTTGAGCAATGAAATTATTAAGAAGTTATTATTATTAATGGACTCTTCATATACCATGTTTCCTGTATCGAATTCATTAAGAATAAAAATAGAGGCACCTCCACCTATCGAGTTAGGTCTGGTGGAATGTAGAGAATGATAGTTAAGAAGGTTGAAAAATTTCACTTCTACCGGTTTAATCCACGTTTCGACGACAAGTACGATATGTATTTTAAAATTTAAACTAGTTATAAAATATTGTAAGTCATTCAGTGAATTTCTCAGCGACTGAGCGTTTAGGTATAGACAATTAATATGGCCTTTTGATTGAATTACTCTAGGGAGGCTATTGTGATGCTTTACAGATGGTTTGATTTCATAATTATTATTTCTATGCATTTTTTGTGTATTAATTCAGCTATTATCCAAGAAAAAGAAAGTTATTTTGGCTTTGTTGCCTTATTGAGAAAATAAACTTCCTGAGACTAAAAGTTTTGTGTGTCCTGTCAAGGAATATGATAAAGACTTGCGTTTCAGTTATAGTGATTTACTCAAGTTAATTTTGTTGAGAATAACGTAGCATCAGCGATTCAGATGTTATTCTTGACTTGTTAGTATGCGATTGGAGACGAAGTTAACAGAGATATGTACATTTAACGCTTTCGCGTTATTGAAGCTGGAAAAAAGATTTGACATTGTCGACTGTTAATTCCGATCGTAACTTCAAGGCAGTTTTATCGGTTAATCAAACGATATATCACATCAATCGCCAACATACACTTCCCATTAAAAAACATGATTCCGTCTAATGACCTAGTGAAATCTAATGTCGTACATTACTCGTCGCGTATGAAAGTGGGCACCGACTATCGCAAAAACCGAACTTTGCACTAGTAATGCTTTCACATTACGATGAGCTCAACGTACCTCTCATAAAGAAGTCAGATTCAAATTGGTTAAGCGAGCATAGTTTCGAGCCAACTGTCTTGCTACCATTTGAAAACGTGTTAAGAACATTTAAATAAGACCGTTAAATTTCACGATTTCGTCAATGACCTAATGAAATCTAAGGGCGTGCTTTAAAAGACGCGATAATGTCATACTAATGATTAATGTGTACTATGTGGATGTAAATAAAAGGAATTTATGCGACTATATAAGCTATTAGCAAGTTTATGCTAATTCTTGACATTATTGACATCGAGAAACGTGACGCGAACTATTTATCTTTGTTTTTATAATCAAGAGACGTTGAAGGGCTGATATAACACGTCAAATACGGATAAATATGAACAATTAACTTGAGATTATTACGATCTACTATTATTATGCAAGATTTATTTAATTTAACTATAAAAAAGTATCTCGATATTATCATATAGAGACAGAAAACGTTAAACGTTTTGTAACGTCTCTTTAGAGTTTGAGTTTTATTGTTGGATACATTTTAGTACACGTACTAAAAAATTGTTTTGATTTTAAATTTAATGTGATTGAGAGGATTTGATAGCAAAATCAGGCAGAATTACGGACAAATCTCTATTAATCATGACAGGACAATTAGCAGAACTTTCAAGATCAGGTTTTTATCGGAAATTTAATGCGTATTGCTATTATTATTATTATTATTTTTTTTTTTTTTTTTTAGCAGAAAGAAATGAATTTTTTTTTTTTTATTATTATTATTGTTACGAGGATGAAACTTACAGACTATTCCATTGGTAATTGGATGTTGTTGGAGCTAAATAGATCTTTCAGTTGCTCGATTTCATTTATTTGGACAGGCTTCTTGTTCTTTATTCGGATCTTTATGGTTCCATTGGATATCCAGACTCCTTCAATTGCTGCATTTTTCTTCTTTGCGTCCCGTGCCTTGTTGAATATTCCACGATTGATATAAGTCATTGGTGTACGGAATTCAATAGCCTTAGCTCTGTTGACATCGGAGTCTTTAAGCGTGAATATGTTTTCATTTAGGACGGGGATGTATTTATTGTTTGCATCTTTTTGCTTTGTTTTGAGGAAACTGAGGAACTTCTTTTTATCATTCGATGTATTGAAGTGTAAATGAGCAGATTTGGACTTGTATTTCTCATTAGATGAAAAATTGTGACTCATAAGGGTATCTTTCAGGATGTTATTGCTCCATTTATTCATGTCTTCTAGAAATTTGTCTTCATTTATAGTTGTTGCTATGTTGACCATGGTAATTTGTTTCTCAAGTAAAATTTGATTAATGGCATTTATTTGACTATCATGGCTTTGCATCTTTTTATGAATTTCGAGATTATCAACTTCGAGATTAATTACTTCACCTCTCACATCTTCAAGATCTTTCTTCACTAGATTTACATCAGCTATTAATGAATCAATTTTGCAGTCAAAGTTCCTGTTCCATTCATCCATACGCTGACTCATTGATGTCATTTGATTTCTCATTTCGTCCATGAAATTCTTAAGATCCTTATCACTTAGTGACATGTTGTGGCAAGGCTTTTTTGGACTAGTCTCTTCGTCTGTTGGTGTTAATTGATAATGCTTTCTGGCACTCGACTTTGGTGTTTGATTTGGTATTGGATTTGGAGAGTGTATGTTTTCTCTTGTTGGAGATTCAGGCATTCCAAGAGATGAATTTTTTGAGGTTTGTAGATTTTATGAGCACAAAAGTTTAAAGACACTTTTTGCGATGTACAGCACAAACTTCCACTTAGTTTCTACATATAAGCAACTCAATGATATTGATGATCTTCTTGGATAATAATTTGAAATTTATTAAGTTAAAATAGCATAGTTATAATAAAAAAAAACTTTTAATTTGAATGTTTATGAGAAGAATATAATTCTGTTAATGGAAGCTTCTACAAGCTGGTTTTGTGATTCTTTTTGTGGTGATATAAAACAGAATATTGCTTAACAAGAGTTGGAATAAACTTTGGGGTTAGTGAGCAAATTATTAAATCCAATGGGGAAATCTTGTTTTATTTAAATTGTTAATGATTTCATGGCGATGCTGGTGGATTTACTTGTGGACTTTTAAAGCTCAAAATGGAAGTTGCAATAATTATATATTTTTTTTTGAAATCTGCTTATTACACCTGAACATGCAGTTCTTTTCTACATTATTTTTAAAAATTAAAATCTATAGTTTCTCCTCCTTTTTAACCAACCAAATATAATTGACTTAATTTCCATTAACATCACACATCCTTTCATAGAAATATGAAAAAATTTAAAATTTTAATTAAACAGAAAACCCCAGGATAGAAAATGCTTTTACTATTGTGCTTTTCATATGTTTTAATCTCCAATTAGTAAATGGGAAAATTCATGCAAAAGGTATGAGCAGCAAAAAATTGTTTTTATCATATTTAGTTTTGCTTATTCATTTACCTGTTAAATGTGCTTGCTGTTTTATTCTCTATTGTCTTTGAAAATTTTTGTCTTGCTTATGGTTTTTGAGGGTTTTTTTTTCAAATATTAGGTAACTCAAAAAATGTTATTTCTTTCAATGTGGAGAATTTTTTTTATTTTATGAATTTTATGATGTTGGTAATGTAGGCTAGGTATAAGGACATTATGGCAATTTTAAGACAAATTAAAAAACCCTAAAGTCTTTACGTTGGTGCATCAGTTTTAATTAACAAATATTTATGAAGAATATTGACATGTGATAAAATGCACTTGTATCAAATGAGGAACATCTTCAAATTGATGCTACTTACGAAGAAACACTAAGCAAGCAATGCACAGCTTAATAACAAATTCAATGAATACAAATATTTTGTCATCAGTGCTTCCAAAATTGCTATTTTAAAGCTTCAATTCTTATTCTTATTTCTTCATAGCTAGTAAAACAATTTGTAAATTTAGCAATTCATTCATTCTTCTCTCTGAAACTTTATAGACACTGAGTGTCTGGCAGCTAAACAAAAGAAATACAAAGCAAATTATAACAAAAGTTTTTACACCTGGAAAACTTTCCTATTTCAAAAATTAATTCCTTTTAAAGAACAAAAAAAATTAAAGAAAAAAAATTATTTTGATCCACAAAAGTTTTTCTTTTGTTTATAAAATGCTATGGAGCTATTTAAGAGTTGAGAAAACATTTTATTTCATCTCTAAATCCTTACGGAGAGAAGGAGGTAATTCGACACATTCAAAAGGATCTTTTCTATTTTTTGCATACAACCCTTTTTACTCTCTGTCGCTTACTTCCATTCTCTTATTAGAAGTACAACCGAATTATTTAAGGTAACCTGAAAAAAAGGTAAAAGAAAAGTAGCAGGAAAGATATATTTACCATAATTCATTTTTCAGTCAATTTTGTGAGTGATAAAATGAAAAGTTGACGAGGCACAAAAATGACTTTCCTTTTCTCAGCTAATTTCTTCCGTTCGAATGAATGAAAAGGATCCTCCGAGGTGTATTTAATCAAAAAATATGAGGAAGGGTCAAATTCTTTTTGCTGTATAATGTTTATTTTTGCCCGCAATTTTTGCCACTTGTACCTCATAAATTTTATGAGTGAAAATTGTTACCTGTGAGAAAATTGTGAACTCATCGGCATTGAGACGAAAATGATGGGGTAAACGGGTTGGAAAGGAAGCAATGTCAAATGTGAATGAGTTTTTAAAGAATTTTATTTTGTAGTTTTTCGAATAGATTTATTCAAATTTATTATAAAAATTTGTAGCTTCTTTAAAAAAAAATGAATGAATTTTAATCGCATTAAAAATTACTGTCGTTTTTGGTTTATTTAGCATCCTTCAAATTCGCATGGAACTGGCCAACTTTGGTCTGAAAAGTAATTGTTATTGCATTTTAGATTTTGTATGATGAAAATTAGTGTCATACCTTCAGGATTAAATTCGTCTTTAAAAGACATTGCAATAATTAAGCTTAAAACAGCTAAAAGCCATAATTGTAAGTTGTTCATTTTTATAAATTGAAGTGCTCTGTTCTAATTTTTATAATTAACTGCAAATTTTTAATCAAGTTTTCCTTTTTTATAGTTTGATTACTGATCGACTGGAAATTTCTAATAACTGATGGAATGACTTATTGAATAAGATGTTTTTTAATCAATTTGTGCTGAAAAGCTTTTCATTTATGATGTTTAGAGATGTCGTGGGTCTTGAACTGTACAATAATCAATACGAAAGTTTGAAATGAAAGTTTTAAGCAAGATAGTCCTGAACTAAGTTTTAACTGGCGTCAAGTCACGTGTTGTTATTAAATCTACAAAGGTCATGTTTAACATCGATGAATGATTACTTAAGTTTGACTGATTTAATCAAAGCGTGGACACTCAAAAATATGCTGGGATTATTGGGATTATTGGGGATTATTGAGGATTATTGGGATTATTTCCAGTGTCCACGCATGCGAATTTAATAAATCAAAACTATTGAGTTGTTTATTTCATTATTTTGTATATTTCTTTTCTTATTTTCAGTTTAATCTATAGCAAGTTGCATAATAATACAATAATAACTGGTTCATAACGTTAATCACATTTCAAGATCACTCAGACATTGCATGCTTTCCTCTGTGTAAGTAACTAGAAGTGAGTGGGCTATTTACGTCACATCACTCATCAGTGTCTGAATCATTTCGCATCAATAATATCTAGTGTAATTTATTTTTTAAGACAACTGAATTATTTTAGAATGCTTCATGGCATTTAATTATGTACACAGATATCACTTAGGTGCTAAGTTGCATCAGTTCTGTTGATTATTCTTCACAAATTTCTTAAAAATTGGAAATTTGCTTTTAAAGTGATTTTTACCTATACGAATTAAATAAAACATATAATGTAAGTTTGGATTTTAATATTAGTTTTGATTCCTTACGTTCTTTTTCAGCACATTTTAATATTAGTTTTGATTCCTTACGTTCTTTTTCAGCACATTTTTTATCCGCTGACTTTATTATATTTCCCCAAAAGTAAAAAACTAGCTTCATGATTAAGTGTTTGTTTGTTACAATAACAAAAATTTAATTTTCTTCAGGCTTTTGTATCACGACAAACCTCTGAAGAACTAAGAGTTTTCAAATTGTTACTTGAAAGTGAGTCTACGATGAACTGATAATGAAATCTTATGCAAACTTCTTTTTAAGCTAATTCAAACTTTGCAACAAAAATGATGATGCTATAGGGGTTTCCCAGTTCTGATCAAATTACTTGTTTACTTTATATTTTTAGTTTATACACACATGATAGGAAATTCTCAATAGATGAAAATCATCTCACTGTCATGATCATATCAATTCCGTTGAAGCTCTTGAAAAATACTGCGATGAACACTTTGCTAGTTTAAGTCACTATCAAGTATTATTCGACGCAATTCTCTTATCATTGATAAGAAAAGTACACATTTTTTTTTTTCATTCCGTAAGTCATTTTCCCTTGTTTATATTAATCTTTAGTGTATTTTGCTATATCATCAACTCCAGTAATTTACAAATTTTTGAAGATTTCGCGCAGTGCTACTCAAACTATAAGCTGCTATAGACTAAGAAGCTTCAAGTGTTTCACAAATATTTGGCAATATATAAATAACACTAGATAAGATTACACACGTCCAACATTTAGCGGGGAGAGGGTCAAAAAATTTGTGAAACATTGTGACAGGGGAGAGAGAGGGGTCAGAAATTTGTGACATCCAATTTTTTTAATCTGGAAACTATAATTTATTTGTGTCTTGGATTGGACGTCACAACATGGGAGTGAGACGGGGGGGGGGATATTGACATCTGTGACAGTTTTGTGACAGACCCCTCTGTCTTAAAATTAGGTTCAGGAGGACGTCATAAGTGAACGACCACTAAACTTAAGCAAAAAGCATTGGAATATGTAGCATAATTGCAAATTTTATTAAGATAAGGTACTTTGGTTTAGTGTATCAAAGTATATGCTCCTGATTTAAAAGGGAGAGGTTTGAAACTGTATTACACTATAAAGCAGTAATGGATAATCGGTGTGTCGTAGAAAACTGGTTTTGAAGTGTACCACAGGTCAAAAAAGGTTGGACATCACTGATCTAGAGTAACTTTTTACCTAGTAATAAATCAGAGCTTCTCAACAAAAAGTCATCCTCTACAAAATCGCAAAATGAAGATTGTTATTAAGAAAATTGCCATCGTCAACATCTTATTTGTGTATATTTTCGTATGTATGTCACAAAAATTGCTTCTTTTCTTCCGTTATTTATTTTATTCATTTGTTTCATCCTCATGTCTCATATTCAATTGCTGGTATGCATCTGTTGTGATTATTTTTTTTTGCATGGAAATTTTCTTCTATCAAATTAGCTTTCAAGAATTGAATCCATAACAAATATTGACATAAAAGATTTTGTTTAATGATTTTGCTTCTCGTGCTTCATGTCTATCTCCTTTCTGTCTTCTAATACACATTACGATGTAGATTGAATATTATGCAAATATTTATAGATATGTGTCTAGATATATTTTCCCTTGTAGAACATTCATCATAAGGTGAGGGTGTGAGAATCATTATATCTGTCTTTGTGTAGATGTTGTCTGTATTTGATGATGATGATGATGAGATATTTGGATTTGCATACTTAAGCTTGTTCATTCTGTCAAAATCT